ACGACCGCCACTACCACAACCACCAAAATCACCACCACAACTACCACCATCACAACCACCACAACTACCACCACCACAACCACCAAACCCACCATCACAACTACCACTACCACAACCATCACCACTACGACCACCACTGCCACCAGCTGGACAAGCTACACCGGGCCGGGTTGGGGCCTCCGGCTGATCCTAGACATCCACCTAGAAGACTACGAGGAGAGTGACGTGGCAGGGGTCAGGGTCAATGTCCACCACAACGACCAGCCGCCATTCCCGGAGGAGCGCTCCGTGCTCGCCTCCCCTGGCTTCTTCACCAGCATCGGATTCCGCAAGGTGGCTTAAGTGGTTGTTTTGTTGTTATTGCTGTTGCCGTTGTTGTTGTAGTTGTTGTTGTTGTTGTTGTTTTGTTGTGTTTGTTTATTTTGTTTTTGTTTTGTTGTTGTTGTTGTGGGTTTTTTTGTTGGTTTTGTTGTTGTTGTTGTTGTTGTTGTTGTTGTTGTTGTTGTTGTTGTTGTTGTTGTGGTGGTGGTGGTGGTGGTGTTGTTTTTTTTTTCTTTCTTTTAATGTAGATATTTTTATACAAATCAGATCATGTAAGAGACCAGCTTCTGACCCTGCCTGACAGGGCCTACCCGGACTGAGCGGGATGCAGTATCCCAGTAGAAAGCCCAATATTAATTATGCATAGTCGATACAAATTTTCTCCCCGCACTCAGGAATTGATTTCGGTCTGTGCGTGTGACAGCAACGCACCTAACTGCTACGCCATAGACGTCGGTACCAAGTGACTCTTCCTATGCAAACCTTGGGGCTTTTTGTTGCTATTTTTATCTCCTATGACCCCTATACGCTGCTCTTGTGCATAAAAAAGTAAAACAAAGAATGTTCCTTTTAAGGAAATTAAGATGTTTTCGTGTCGATAACAAGATTATGTCCCTTTTATACCATTCTATGATTGAAAGCGTGCTATTATTTTGTATTTGCTGCTGGGCTGGGAATTGTAGGGTGAAAGATAAAGAAAAATTGGACAAACCATTATGACAGCTAGCAAGATCTCTGGATATTATTTTACTAGAATTGATTAAATGTATAACACCACGAGTGTAAAAAAGATGAAAACATTGTAAACGACCAATCACATCCCATTTCTTCGCAAATTGTAAGATCACGCAGCGGTAAATATGTACCTCTAAAAACAAAGAAAGAAAGATATGAAAGAAATGTTTTACCATCTAGCATTAGACTATTGTCAGAATAACCTTCAGTGTGTATTGCTCTTTCGAGTATGTATCTATATAACTCTAAAGGTCTTGTAATTAAATTCCTGCATGTGGTTGAATGATGCATCTGATGTGATATGTACATTTTGTCAGCTCTACTTCTCTTTTCATATTGAATTTTAATGAGAGTAATATATAATTCAAATGTCTATGTATACCTGCATGTGTTTTTCCGTTCCAGTACAGCCAAGAAAAAATTCCCTCTGGGATAATAAAGTACTAAATCTTATACACAAATGTAATCTAGCAAAAGAGACCTGGTTAAAAGAAGAATGTCAGGAAATGGAAAATCATTCCAATGCGAACTGAAAAGATCTGCACAGAAATATTAAAGAGGTGTGCCAAACAAGAGCACATGGATCAACAGGATGCCTCAAATCAAAGGATGGGAATATCATCATGGATGGAGATGAGATACCGGATCGAGGGACAAAAGAGATGAACAAAGAAGAGTGGAAAATAACAACGAGGGCCCAAAAATCATGAAGGAAGAAGTTGTCAAAGCACTAGGGAAGATGAGGAATGGGAAAGCTACAGGACCTGACAAACAACATTACCACAGAGATAAAGGTCTTTGGAATCACTACACTGACACAACTTCTCAACTACGACATGTATGATACTGGACATATTCCATCAGACTTGTGAAAATCTATCTCCATAGCTTTACCAATGAAACCTAATGCAAATAAAAGTGAAACTCATCAAACCATCAACCTTATGAATCACGTAACAAAAATACTACGTAGAAAAATTATGATAAGAATACGAAATAAAATTCTCCCAGAGATAGCCCAAGTACAGTTTGGATATATTGAAGGCAAAGGCAAAGGCACTGTAAATGCCATGTGTTCTCAGAACAACAATAGAACGTGCCCTGGAAGTTCAGAAAGATCTTTATCACGCTAGGCTTTCGACAAAGTTAGGCCCGAAAAGATCATCGACAAGCTAGAAATTCTCAATATTGATAGGAAGGACATACGGGTTATCAAGAACATGTACCGTTATGGGATCAAACCGCTGCAATAGAACTAGAAAACGACATCAGCGAATAAATGAGGAGTTAGACAGGGACGTGTACTTTCACCAGACTTGTTCTCCCTGAACAGTGAAAATATCAGGAGATACATAAAAAAAATGCCAGGTATCTCGATAGGGGGACATAACATTAACAATCTAAGATATGTAGACGACACAGTCCTAAGAGTAGAAGAAGAAAAACACCAACAGGATCTATTAAATGTCATCGTACAAGAGAGTGACAACATGGGTCTAAGCCTACACCACAAGAAAACTGAAACAATGTTTATTAGCAGAAAAACTTCAATCCCAACCTGCAATATCAAAAGCAACGGTACCACCATCAAGCAAGTACAACATTTTAAATATCTGAGGACCATTATATCATCAGATAGGAGATGTCACACCGAAATTAAAAGCTGCACTTACCAAGTAAAAGCAACCTTCCACAAAATGAAACAAATACTTACAAACAACAATCTGTCACTGGAAACAAGAACAAGAGTACTGAAAATGTAATATATCCCTGTAATATTAGTTAAATAAGCAATAACTGTGTTTGGTTCACTATCGTTAATTGCTGTAGTTATGTCTCCTTATTTGAATGTATTAATTTGGTACTCTTCAGGATAAGCAATCAAAGTTATGATTCAGTAGTGTCATAAACTTCCAACATGGTCGGTTGCTGTTTTCACAGTACGATTGTTGTGCTAGACTATCCGTGCGCATCTAACTTATTATGAGGCATCACATATTTGGCGACGAGTTATATCGAGCCAATCCTATTACAGGGGTGTGAAGCATGGACAATAGACAGCTGGAAAGAACAATTGAGGCGACAGAGTTGTGGTTCATAAAACGCATGCTTTGGATCCCATGGACATCTAGAAAAACAAATGAAGAAGTCTTGGTTGAACCAAATTGCAGCCGACAGCTTATGCATAATACAAAAGCGACAGGCAAATTTCATTGGATACACAATGCAAAAATAAGCGTTGGAGAATATTGTAATAACAGGCAAATTTGATGGAAAGAAAGGCAGACGCAGACAGAGGGAAAAGATACTGGACAAGTTGACAACATGCTGGGAACTTGATCGCCAAGATTTACCTGGAATACTTAGAGGTGCAATCTCTGACTCAGAGGTTGACGTGTAAGGCACATTCTGTTTTATCCAGGCCAGTCGATGTCTTAACGTTGTCCATCCATCTTACTTTTTGTCTTCCCCTGGATCTGCCGCCCTACATATTTCCTTCGAGCATCTCTTTCACAATGGACTGATATCGTTTTAAGTGACCAAAGTATTATATTTTTCTACATTATACTCGTATTTTGTTAAGCAGAGTTTGTCTTGTACTGTTCTTAACTTTACTTTTCATCCTCTGTTGCCGTTAAACGTCGAGGGGAGATGCAGTTTTCTATGGTAGGCCAGCTCCGCAGCTGAATTGTTATTAAGCTAAATGTCTTGTATGAATGTTTAATTGTGTCTTATTACATTCTCTTAGATAAAAACAGGAAGAGAATCCCCGCCATTCGGGACGTGCCAAGACGTGGGCAAGACGAGACACGAGGGCATCAGTTTCTACGCCGACCGTTACTCTTACTCGGACACGGCGTGCCAGAAGAGTTGCCTGCAGGTCACCGCCATCAAACAGTGTGGCTGTTGCCTCACAAACTACCCCTGCAACCCTCTCAACAAGACGCGCGTTTTCGACAACTTGCACTTGAAGCCCAAGGTAAATTTCTGCAACACAACCGAGTACTCGTCGTGTGTGTCTGAATTTGACACTTTGAGGGCCTTAAAGTTTCTTGCTGAATGTTATGATCGATGTCCTCCGGCATGTACAGAGATCAGCTACGACATAACTTTGTCTATGGCCATGTGGCCTACCGAAAACAAGAAAGACGATTACTTCCGTCTGTTTAACGATGACAGGCACAAACCTGCAGGGAGCCAAGAGCAGTTCCAGGTCTTACGCCAAAATTTTTTGCAACTTGCGGTCTACCCGGAGACGCTGAAAGTGGACAAATACGTGACGAACGCTAAGTACGACTGGAGTATTCTGCTGTCCAACTTCGGCGGGCAACTCGGACTTTGCATAGGGTTTTCCATCCTGTCCGCTCTGGAAATATTCGAGCTGATCTTCGACATTATCACGCATCTGGTTTTCTTCTTTATCTATCATACCCGATCCAAAGTAAGAGTGAGAGTGAGCGACAGTAGCAGTAGAGAGTAACCTGGACAGAGTAACACGACAAGCTCTGGACAATCATAGAATTTATTAAAACTTTGCTTTCACTTCTGATTGATTGTACACGTTCTACGCCTCAACTGATACAATTTGGATCTTTAAATTGAATGGGCGGACTGTTTCGAGCGCAATATTTAGATCAATTAAGATGCCGGCTGTTTCGACCCTATCCTTTTTGACCAACCTGGTTCAGGACCCTTGACAGACGAGCGACATTTTACTGCGCTGGAAAGCAAAACTGCCCTGGAAAAAAAAACTGCGCTGGAATAAGACTACACTTTTGTTCCATCTAGCATTTCAACATGGACAATCCACGTCGGAAGGTTATGGTTCTTTATGTTATGAACAAATTATTTTTAAACGAAATAAAAAGAGAACATTTTGGCGGCAGAAATTTGTCGCTCGTGTCATTTAGCAGCAATGCTTCGTCAAAACGCCGGGTGAGATCTATGCGTGAAATTCCAATCGGCGAGTTCTGGGTGTACCTGATTTGGGGCGACACGTTTCATGTTCGTTCACAACGCGCCTGACGTGAATTTCAGGCCTGCATAGACACTGGAAGTTTTATCTGCGTTGATGTTTCGAATTGAAGGAGATGTTGGAAGTAAACTTAGCGAGAAAATGGCCGCCAAAGTTTGGGTAACTTCCAAAGCTTTAATGTCCAAGGAAATTGCCAACTTAAGTTTTTTTTGCACCTTTCAACAACGTTTTTCCAGTGAAATTAACACAGAAATAAGTTTCAAGTGAATATAAAAAATATTGAAACCCCCCAAAAATCGTTTTAAAATGTCCAACAAGCGGAACATTGTCGGTTTCTTCTATCGAAGGTATCATTTTGACGAGCGTGTTATTTCACCATGATGCCACACAATTGTTCAGCTCACCTCAAAAAGCATAATACTAGAACAGTTAGAAGAGGAGTATGAGGTTCAGCATGTCCTTCTGAATACATTGAGTATGATAAAGGACGCGTGTTCTGGCATTCGGACAACGTTTCAAGGCACAATGTTTTGGGGCATCTGAAAGAAAAGAAGCACAACTTCATCACCCATAATGATTTTTGCAGTTCTGTTTTCATTATTTGAAATGTTCAACGGCAGAAAAAGAACATTCTCACTATGAACTAAAAGGTAGTGGAGTTGTTTTTATGTTGCATGGTACGTTCGAAATGTGCTGTAATACTGCCTTCAGTCAGATGCCTGTCGGACGTGTTATTAATTTTGAGTATGCTACTCTTACCTGATCTATTTTTTTTTTCAAAAGAAGAAGGTGGTATCTGTTTATGTGTGATCCGAAAAGCATAATATTTATGTCGCTGTATCATCAGTCTTGATGGAAATTTCAATGTGAACATTTTCACTGAATAGTGTTAAAACTCACTATGCTTTTTGTGCTCAAACGTTTTCCTTTTATCTTTTTACAAGAATAAATCCATAATTATGAAAACAATATTTTGACGCGTTAAATATTTCTTTGGATTACGGCACTTTCATTCTTTTGTGTGAATTGAAATGATGATAATGATAATGTTTAAACTAAGGAATACAGCTGAATATTTACATTAATTCGAAAAACGTTCATACTGCTTTAGAAATTTTAGTTCCATTTCGGAGTTTCTTGAAAAATTGTTGTTGATTGTATCTATATCTAGTGGCTGAGCAGTGACAGAGAGCTCGGTCTCACGTTGTGACCTTGGGAAAGGCCCTTTACATGGATTTTCCCACCTGCCTCAGTCGTATCGGAGATAGACATTAAACTCGGAGGTCCTGCAACTTACATAGCCTCACAGTTTAGCAAGGACCTTGAAACCTATACAATTTCAATGTTTACAGTGAGAGAAATTTTGACAAGCGAAGCAAAGCGACACCGGCTATGAGACGAGTGGTCACTGGAGTGTGCTGTGGAGCGAGACACTGTGATACTAGCTCTTCTAACATCTTCTCTCCCCCCCCCACCTCCCATCTCTTTCTCTCTCTCTCTCTCTCTCTCTCTCTCTCTCTCTCTCTCTCTCTTTCTCTCTCTCTCTCTCTCTCTCTCTCTCCCTCTCTCTCTCTGTCTCTCTCTCTCACTTCTCGCTCTCTTGTGTTTGTCTGAATATGTGTGTAGGCCTATGTGTGTGTAGTGTGTGTGTGTGTGTGTGTGTGTGTGTGTGTGTGTGTGTGTGTGTGTGTGTGTGTGTGTAAGTGTGTATGTGTGTGTGTGTAAGTGTGTGTGTGTGTGTGTAAGTGTGTATGTGTGTTGCATGTGTGTATTTTTTGTGTGTAAAGGGTACTGTCCTGCGATGGTTTGAGTCATATCTTAAAGATCGAACACAAGCAGTTGTAGTTGGAAGCACGTGTTCTGATAATGTTTTGCTTAGATGTGGTTTTCCCCATGTGTCTGTTTTTGGACCTGTTTTGTTTACAATGTATACACAGCCTATTGCTGATATTGTAAGACATATGGAATGAATTACCATCTTTATGCTGATGACACTCAGAAATATAAATCTATTGATTTCGATCAAATATCACGTTTAGTCGATTCCACTGAGCAATTTATTCGGGAACTAAAAACTAATATGGAAGGTCAGTATAAAATTTAAACTTAATGATGACAAGACGGACATAATGTAGTGTGGAAATACAAAAGCCATATAACAAATCTCACACAACTACAAATTGATATCAATAACCATACCATTCATTCTAAAAGAAGTCTAAAAAACTAGGGGTTCAGTTGGATTATGATATGTCTATGTCCTCCCAAATTTGCCAGCTCAGCAAAAGTATCTATTTTCAGCTTAAGAAAATTGACAGTGTAAGAAATTATTTAACTAAAGCAGCAGCCAAGACATTAGTAACAACACTGATTTTACCACAACTAGATTACAGTAATGCTTTTTTAAATCCTGTTTGAGGGCCAAAAAACTATCAAAGTTACAAGTACTCCAAAAATCAAGCAGCAAAATTTATAATGAAACAAACGAAATCAGTGCACGTAACACTAATTCTGAAAGAACTACACTGGCTGCCAGTGAAGAAAGGATCAAATACAAAACTACAATTTTCTGTTTTAAATGTATAAATTATGATACTGCACCTTTTTACTTTTAAAAATTCCTGGAATCATATCATTCACCTAGAACCCTCAGATCAGCCTGGGACAATCTAATTCTCAAAGCTCCAAGACAAAATTACACAACATACGGCGAACGTTCCATTTTGTTCTTTGGTCCCCAGGTATGGAACGAACTCCCATATAAAATAAGATGTGCCCCAACAATTTACATTTTCAAAAAACAACAACAGCTGAAGCATTTCATATTTACAAATGCATACCTGTCATAATGATGAACCGTTATAATAAGCATGTCTATGCCAGACTGTGAGAAAGAAGTAATAGCGTGTGAGAATGAGAGAAAGAGAGAGAGAGAGAGAGAGAGAGAGAGAGAGAGAGAGAGAGAGAGAGAGAGAGAGAGAGAGAGAGAGGGAGAGAGAGAGAGTAAGAGAGAGAGAGGGAGAGAGAGAGAGAGACTGAGAGACAGAGAGACAGAGAGACAGAGAGACAGAGAGAGAGAGAGAGAGAACGGAAATGTCTTTCTATTTATAGCGAACGAATGTTTCAATGACTATTTCTAGTTATTCAAGTTTTAGTTTTGTTTCGACCGTTCGTGAATATTTATAGCATTGTTGTATATTTTTAGTGGACGCATGTCCAAGTTCACTGCGAGACTGTTTTTCTCATTGAAGTGGCTACGTTCTCTAACGTTAGAGAATGTATACACGCTGTCTACGTTCTCTAACGTTCAGTGCTTCCAATTTTCCGCCATTTTTTTAGTTTCCTCCAGACCTCATCTGCTGATCCGATACCCGCCGCCTCATTGATATCCCCCCCCCCCCCCCCCCCCCTCATCCCCAAGTTTCCGACTTTCTCACTTTCTTTGTTGTTGAAGTAGAAAACTAGATGTGAACATCTCGATCTATGTTGTTGCCTTTCCTGAAACAGTGCTGTATATATTAAGCTTAATCTACCTCTGGAGGTTGGATGTTCTGATAGCCGAAATTCAATGGTCAGCGTGTATGAGTGTGAGTTCGAATCCCGGTCCCGAAGTTTTTTGGGTTTTTGTTTTTGTTTTTCTTCTTCTTCTCCTCCTCCCGACTGACCAACAATTTTCACCATAATTATAATTTGTTGCTTTGGTATTTCTTATGCAGTGATGAAGCATGCAAATTCTAGTTTTGTCCCTAAGAGGAGCTTTTATCTACCAAGTAAAGGCCTACTTTTCTTTTCACCAATTTATGCCTGATTAAAGTACATTTACAACTTTCAACAGTGGCTTTCCTTGGTCTGTGAGTCTAATTTTTAAAATATATTCTTGAATCAGGGAGGCCAAATCTTTGCTCTTCAATTGCAATTTTTTTTAAATCCAGGGCCCTCCTGCGGCCCCCTGACCCCTGCCAATTGTTCCTCCTGCGCAATTATTATTCGTCCTGGTTGGGGGTCCGGGGGCAAATTGTTGGTCAGTAAGGAGAAGGAGAGAAAGAAAAAAAACAGCAACAAAACCCCCCACCCCAAAGTTTCTATGACCGCGATTCGATGCCACGCTTGGAAGCACTGAGCATTAGAGAACGTAGACAGCTTGTAAACGCCCTCTAACGTTAGAGAACGTAGACGCTACCTTTTCTCATAGAAAGCTTTTATACATATACACACACACGCACACACATAATATAATATGTGTGAATCTTTTTTTCTCAATATCGCCATCCTGTTCCGCTGTAATTGCCAATTTCTCTCAGTGATTAATCCCTCTGTCTTTTCTCTCTTTTCTCTCTTTTCTCTCTCTCATTTTTGTTTATCATTTTTTTTTCGTTCGGATTTACCTCGATATGTAATAGTCATGTTTCTTCTTTCAGACTGCCTTCTTTTTAAGGGGGGAGGGGGAGGGGGCTACACCCCCAAAGTCAAAATTCGGCTCAAAATTATGGAATTTGAGCTGTAGGCATTTTTAGCCTCTCCTACAACTATTTCATCGCATAAGAACCCCCCAAAACCGTATTTTTCCTATACGGGCATGTTTGTTACCGCCGTTTCCTAATAAAGTCAGTATTCTATTTTTCTTTATCATAGGTTTTCTCAAAACGCGTCTTTTCTTTATTAACAATAGTAACAATTAATTTTCACGTGATAAGTGCGTTTTTAATATCGTAAGACATGTCAACAAAATCCAATATGGCCGCCGTATCTATGGAAACAAAACTTTTTCTCAAATTTGATTGCTGATCTTAAGACTCCTTACTATGCTTGTTATATGGGTGAAATTTGGTAAATTCGGTCCAGTAATAAGCGAGATAGCTTTCAGGTGTACCCCCGCCTCCCCTTAATTTTTTTTTGATGATATATAATATGCAATTGTAATTGTACTGTTGTGTGGGATTACGTTTAGCAATGTTTAGAGTGAGTGATAGTCACTCAGTGAGGTGTGTGGGTGTGTGTGTGTGCGCGTGTGTGTGTATATATGTGTGTGCACTTGCGTGTGCGCGTATATTTGTTTATATGTATGTCTATGTGTGTATATGTGAGTGCGTACGTTTGTTAGTATGTGTGTGTGGGGGGGGGGGGGGGTGTGTGTGTGTGTGTGTGTGTGTAGGAGGGTGAGGTGTGCCTGTGTGGACTTAAAGACAGGTTATGTCCTTAACGTCCAATGTACACTTGTCATGCTAATGTTATAAATAAGAGCTTGTCAACCTATTTACAGTACAGCCTGGGTCCATGTTTGTCTTGCTATAGATAGATAGATAGATAGATAGATAGATAGATAGATAGATAGATAGATAGATAGATAGATAGATAGACAGACACACAGACACACTGACACACAGACAAACAGACTTATAGATAGGTAGATAGACAGATAGATAGATAGATAGACAGACAGATAGACAGACACACAGACAGACACACAGACAGACAGACAAACAGACAAACTTAGATAGATAGATAGATAGATAGATAGATAGATAGATAGATAGATAGATAGATAGATAGATAGATAGATAGATAGATAGATAGATAGATAGATGCCAGGAAAGTAGAAAACTACTGTAAGTACTATAAACCACGTTGTTCAGGGGTGAGAGAGAGAGAGAGAGAGAGAGAGAGAGAGAGAGAGAGAGAGAAAGAGAAGAGGAAGAGGAAGAGGATGAGGAGGGGGGGGAGCGAAAAAACGAGGAGATAGACAGATAGACAGGGGTGGGGGTGGTAAGTTAGAGAAAGAAATAATAAAGAAAGAGATAGATAGATATAAAGTGATAGCGAAGGAGGTAAATAGAAAGAGAGAGAGAGAGAGAGAGAGAGAGAGTGAGAG